ATAATTTTTATATATAATGATGAATCACTGATGAAAACGTAGTCATTGAACATGACTCGTTCATAAATGAAGATGTTAATATGAAGAAGATAATGGAAGTGATGGAAGAGAGGGACATATGCGGAGGACGAGAGGAGTATTTGCATCGCTTGATATTTTGAGAACAATTTTACAGTTTATATATGCATAATATTTCCGAAAGGATATAAATGTCTAATCCATTCATATATCAATGAAGTGGTATAACTGAACAAGCTACATGATAAAACGATCATATGTAAGTGATTGACTTATTAAAAGATTTTTTTTTTTCAAAATTAATCACGTGATTTTTACTGTACCCATCGTTTTCTTTCACGTGTAGAATTATTGGAATTAAATATGGTTCTTTCTCTACCTTTCCCTCTTATTTTTCTCTATAAAAAGTGCTTTATTAGATCTAATTAGCAAAACAAAGAGTCCCTTCCAAATATATGTGACTACCATCTCTAGCTATATATACATATCTAGCTAGCAAATTTAACCAAAGCAAAGTCCTCAGAAAGAAAAAAGAAATAAAAAGAAATCAAATAAAAATGTTGAAGCCCCAATTAGTGCATCAATCAAAAACTGGCCAAACTCTTGTTCCGTTTCCAAAGCCATTTGTTCATGGAACTGGATTACCAGTCTTCATAAGGTCCTCCGAAATATGCCTTAAGAACAAGCAAAAAAATGTTCATCTCGCCGGCGGCGGCGTTTCCGGCAACGTAAAAGCCGTTTTACGCGGTTCCGAGAGCAAGAAGGCCATCAAGGTTAAAGCTGTTGCGACGGTGAGCCCTACCGTTGGAGGGTTTTTGACAAATCTTGGTTTGGATAGAGGACTCGATGATATCCAAGATTTGCTCGGAAAATCTCTCCTCGTTGAGCTTGTTAGTGCTGAGCTCGATCCCAGTAAGTACTATATATACATACACCATATATATATATATTCAGTTCAATAAATTAATTCCATTCAACCATAAATACTGATTCCTCTGCGCATATACATGCATAGGACAGATATAGGTTAATTAGTACATTAATCTGTATGTTTACTTCTTAATTCTTGTTATAAGTTTGAATTTTTCTCATATTTTCTTTAAATATTTAGCTCAATAAAATTTCGAATAAAATTCTATATTCGGTTGTATTTTATACACTAAATATCAAATATTAATTAAGCACATAATTTATTGATCTATGTATACTTACGTTAATACTAATTATTTTCAAAGAAGAGTTTTATGTATTATGGATAGAGTTGACTACCACAAAAATGAGAGTCAATTTTGTAATCTTACATGTTAGGACACAATTGTTAAAAAGGAATTCATGCCCTTTTTCATTGAGATTCAATAGTTATAAGATAGATGCTAAGACTAATTTGTCACAATTTCATAGATTAGAACTTGATCCAGGATGTTTTAGAAGTTAATTAGCGATCAAAATGAAATTTGTTCTATAATTCAAGAATTAAAAATGAGTTTAATTGCCAACTTTAATTAACCACCAAGTCGAGGACAAGTGGGTATTGGGGCAACATTTTCAGACCATATAAGATTAAAAAAATATACAGAATAAACAGTTTCTAATATGAATTTAATAGTTAAGAATTATTAACTTTTTAATAGTTTATTTTTTCAAACCAATCACGTAAACTTTTGAAAGAAAAGTCAACACATGTACTGTGTTCTTGCACTACATCTACTTATTATGAACGGGACTATCCGCAAGTCTTTAATCATCTCGTCTAATCATTGATATATAATAACTAATAGTCTACAAATCATTAGCAGAAAGTCTAATTACTATTCGTCGTTTGTATCTAAAATAATAGATATTGCCTTTTTGCGTATCTCCCACATATAATGATAGTCATCTGACGTCAATTCCTATCACAAAAATGAGAGTCAGTTTTGTAATTTTACATGTTAGGACACAATTGTTAAAAAGGAATTCATGCCCTTTTTCATTGAGATTCAATAGTTGTAAGATGCTAAGACTAATTTGTCACAATTTAGTAGATCAGAACTTGACCTGGGATGTTTTAGAAGTCAATTAGCGGCCAAAATGAAATTTGTTCTATAATTCAAGAATTAAAAATGAGTTTAATCGCCACCGTTAATTAGCCACCGAGTCGAGGACAGTTAGGTATTGGGGCAACATTTTCAGATTAAATAAAATTAAAAAAATATACAGAATAAATAATTTTTAATATAAATTTAATGGTTAAAAATTAAAGACTTTTTAATAGTTCATTTTTTCAACACCAATCAACTTTCAAAACAAAAGTCAACACATGTACTGTGTCCTTGCCCTACATCTACTTATTATGAACGGAACTATCGGCAAGTCTTTAATCATCTCGTCTAATCATTGATATATAATAACTAAAAATCCGTTTAATTTATGGATTAAAATTATGAGATTAAAATTATTTTTAATTCACTTATATTTTTTATGAAAAAAAATACTATAATAAATTATAAATTATAATTCAAATTAAAAAATAATCCTCCAACCAATCTAATAGTCTATAAATCATTAGCAAAAGTCTAATTACTATTCGTCGTTTGTATCTAAAATAACAGATATTGCCTTTTGCGTATCTCCCATATATAATGATAGTCATCTGACGTCAATTCCTACGTTTGATTATCAGATTGAAATCTAGTTTTCACGATAGAAATGGTGCCAAGTGCGCATAAAACAAAACCTTGATAGAGATAGTGGTCCAAAGTCAATTACAAAAATCCCCATCACGTGAAAAATCAATAATAGAAAAGTCAATAATTTTAAATGGAGACGCATACATAAAAAAAAAAAAAATCTTATTGATTAGATAAGGTACAGTTTATAATATTTTTGATTTTCATCAAATTGTGTCAATATATCTAGCTTGCCCTAATCTGATACATATAATTTAACGTGATCCAACCGTTTGAATTTGTGTGCTGTCGGTAGAATATATATATTTAATTTCTTACTCCATCGAAGAATTCTTCATGTATTTTTTTTTTTCGATTGTTAAGCTATTAATTAATATAGGAACTGACTGTGTATACTTATATTATTATGGTGAAGAAACTGGATTAGAGAAAGAAACGATTAAAGACTATGCGCGTAGGCTTGGTAGGGACAACAATGGAGGGGTGTTATATGAAGCAGAGTTTGAAGTTCCAAAAGATTTTGGAAGAATTGGTGGGATTCTTGTGGAGAATGAGCACCACAAAGAGATGTTCCTCAAGGATATTGCCGTTGATGGTTTCCCTACTGGACCCGTCAACGTTAGCTGCAACTCTTGGGTCCATTCAAAGTTCGATAATCCGCAAAAGAGAGTCTTCTTCACAAATGAGGCAAGGACTTTTATATAAGTTATAGTACGAGACAATAATTATACTTGAACATGTCTACTTCTGTTATGGTCATGAATAATTAATAAGCTAGACAATTGAATAACGTTTTTCATTTTTTCATTTTGTTTTAAAGATTATTATCACTGCTGGTGCCCCCAAAACTTTATGGTCATTCTGAATTTGTTATCTAAACTTTAAAAATTCTCACTTTATTCATTGAATTTTGAATTGTTTTCACTTAACTCCTATTATAAATTTTATTAAAAATATATAAAAAAAAGAGAGTAATACAGTTACGTGATCTTTCTGTTTAAATTTATGTTAAAAACAAACATATAAAAACCACATGATCATACTTAACCTCCACTTTTTTCCGTTTGATTTCATCACAAATTCTTATAAAAAGATTTAAATGGGACAAATTTAAAATTTAATGGGCAAGTAGGAATAACACCAAAATTCAGGAGCATTAGTTAGATTAATTTTTTTTTTTCTTTTGAATAACAATAAGCGACATGAAGGGTATGGAATTATTAAAATAATTTGACGTGATAGTTACGTACATAAATAAAAATAATTTAATCAGTGCTTTCTATGAAATATATATATATATATATATTAAGTTTTATTTAATTCATTAACCATTTACTAATTTTTTTTTAAAAAAAAGCCTTTGATAATATATATTGTCATTCACTACGGATATATTAATTGGTAAATTGTTTATTTGGAGCAGTCGTATTTACCATCGGAAACGCCAAGTGGACTGAAGAGGTTGAGAGAAGAGGAGCTAGTGAGTTTGAGAGGAAATGGTGAAGGAGAGCGCAAGAAATTTGAGAGAATATACGATTATGATGTATACAATGATCTTGGAGATCCAGACAAAAATGCAGATCTCAAAAGACCTGTTCTTGGTGGAAAAGACCACCCTTATCCTCGACGCTGTAGGACTGGACGTCGTCGCACCAAGACAGGTTTATATTACTATACTATTCAACTTTCCTCCACATAATTATTTCATGAAAAATGATTTTTATTCCGATGGGGATAAAACTTCATCACTCACAAAATGGTGAGTCTCATTAAGTTGGGTCCTACCTATTCATTGAGTGAGACTCATCTTATATGAGTAGCGAGATTTTAACTCTCTATTAAGATGAATAAGTGTGCTCTTATTTCATACGTGTGATCATGATGATAATAAAAATATGTGTGCGTACATGTTTACATAGTAATAATAATCTTGTCAAGGAAATATACAAATATATATATATATATATATATACAGTAATAATTATGTCCAGGAAATTTCCACAAGTAATTTTATGGAATTATTTGAAATATAGACAAGTAGTGTTCCAAGTAATTTTTGCTTCGGATTCCTAGAGAATTTAGGGGAAAAGGTCCTACAATTTATTATTATTTTGTATTTATTATTATTTTTTACTTTGGGGTGGTTAGTCTGTATGATATTTCTTAATTACAATTTGAGGAAACGTGACTAAGCCTGGAACAACGGGTGAAATATGGGCCATGGCGAATAAATTAATCTATGTCGATTATGCGGCTCTGAGATTTCTTTTTTATATTTTTATTTAAAAATTTGAAGTGCGGTTTAAACCACAAATCAAATCTTTTTATTACTACAACTTCAACCTAATTTTAATTTCTTTAACATGTTTTTTTTTTTTCAGTGAAAATTTCTTTAACACGTTTTAGCTATATCTAACGATGTGGCTCATTATGAGGCAAATGATCATTAAATTTGGAAAAAAAAAAAACACACGCACAGTACACGTATCATGAAAATAATCTCAAAAAGTATGATATTTTTTCAAATTAATTGTTGGCAAATTTATTTGTTCTTTTTTTTTTCAAAAAAAAAAAAAAAAACTATGCAGATCCATTGTCGGAGGCGAGAAGTGGGAGTGTGTATGTTCCCAGGGACGAAGCATTCTCTGAAGTAAAACAACTAACATTTCAAGCAAAGACAGTGTACTCAGGCCTTCATGCCTTGGTTCCTTCCCTTCAGACGGCGTTCGTTAACCGTAAACTCGGCTTCCCGTACTTCACGGCCATCGACACGCTCTTCGATCAGGGATTGAAAATGCCTTCGGATGGCCCGGGAATTCTCAAGAATGTTCTCCCTCGATTAATCAAGGCTGCCTCCGACGCTGATGATATTTTACAATTTGAAGTTCCAGAAACAATGCTGAGTACGAAAACCTTTATACATATGAATTACGACAAAAGTACCTTTTTTACTTTCTAATTTTGCTTTTTGTTTGGAACTGGTCCTAATGATCTAACCTTTTTTTTTTTTTTTTTTTTTTTTTTTTTTTGGGGGGGGGTTTTTTTTTTGGGAAAAAATTTTTTTTGGTTTTTTTTTTTTTTTTTTTTTTTTTTTTTGGTGCGGGGTATATTTTTTAGGAGACAAATTCTTTTGGTTTAGGGATGAGGAATTTGCCAGGCAGACTCTTGCAGGTCTCAACCCATATAGCATTCAATTAGTCACGGTAAGTTCTTCTATTAACATAAATTATAACATATCCACAAATCAAAATGCGACAAATTATATCCATGATATATCACATCAATTTGGAATTACAAAATGTAAATACGAATTAGTATTTGTAGAATTACCCTATAAATTAATCGTATAGTATAAGGACTTACAAGTTGAGAATCTACTATATACAGGAATGGCCACTAAAGAGTAAACTTGATCCCGCGATCTATGGACCGCCGGAATCAGCAATTACCACAGAACTGATTGAGCAAGAGATCAGAGGTTTCGTAACTGTTGAAGAGGTACAAAAACTGAAAATTAATTAATTTGGTGACATTTTAATTAAATTTCACTTTTACGTATAATTCCTAAATTTTATATTTATTGTACATATATACACAGGCCATAAAACGAAAGAGGTTGTTCATTTTAGATTACCACGATCTGTTACTACCATATGTAAACAAAGTAAGAGAGATAGAAGGAACGACATTGTACGGATCAAGGACAATCTTTTTCCTAACCCGTGACGGAACGTTGAGGCCGTTAGCCATTGAGTTGACCCGACCACCAGTTGATGGAAAGCCGCAATGGAAGGAAGTCTTTACACCTTGTTGGGATGCCACTGGTCTCTGGCTTTGGAGACTTGCAAAAGCTCATGTCCTTTCCCATGATTCTGGTTTTCACCAACTCGTTAGTCATTGGTATGTACCTTTCAGCTCCTTTGTTCAAGTTTTCGCTAATTAGACCATCTTCAATCCAAATATTAGGACAAAAATCATATTTGTATTGGAGATGTTTTACGTTAAATTTATAAAATTGTATGTCTTTTTTTTTATTTAAATTTTTTACAAAAAGAATAGGGCTTTTATTAAGGATCCAGATTCTATGTCTAATTTTTAGTGTATTAATTGATGTCCAACCAATCAAATCACATCATATTATCCTATGATAAGTACAAAATAGTTAGTTAAAAAACAATTCAATTTTTTTTATACGATGTAACATGATATAACTAGTTAGACACTACATCAAAATTAGATATGAGATTTGAGTCCTTTTATTAACTTATTATATATCTTCTTGTTATTTTTGTAGGCTAAGAACGCATTGTGCAACTGAACCCTATATAATAGCAACAAATAGGCAACTTAGTGCGATGCACCCAATCTATAGATTGCTACACCCGCATTTTAGATATACAATGGAGATTAATGCTCTTGCTCGTGAAGCACTAATCAACGCCGGTGGCATCATTGAATCCTCATTCTCTCCTGCCAAATACGCCATGGAGCTTTGTTCAGATGGCTATGACAAGTTGTGGCGATTTGACCGGGAAGCATTACCAGCTGACCTCATCTCCAGGTAATAATGCTAGAATGCCAATGTCAATGTCAAAATTTGACATTTAATTAAAAATTACCTTTTAATACAAGGCCCTATTAGTTGATGTTAAATTTGGTATATATAATACTATATTATAATATTATGTGTTATTTTAGTACATCTCACAGCGTCTGAATTTTGATATTTGCATAACAATTGGGTTAATTGTCAAATTAATAGTTCAGAGGGCAATTTTTCAAATGATCACGAATAAATTTAGGGAGCACATTGATATTTCTATTACCAATTAACACATGCATTATCAATTTGGATCATATTGCAACGTTTAAACTTATGATTAATTATAAAATTAAAAACCTGGAAAACTTCAAAAAAAAAAAAAAAAAAGTCCAGTCCTACATAAAATTTTCACACATAATTTTTTTTATTATTTTTATCTAAGTTGTTGTTAATTAATTTTGTACTTATTCTAGGGGAATGGCCGTTGAGGACCCAAGCGCTCCACATGGTGTAAGGCTAACAATTGAAGACTACCCTTTTGCCGCCGACGGTCTCGTGCTCTGGGACATCATCAAAGAATGGGTCACCAACTACGTCAACTACTACTACTCCGACGCATCGAAAATCGAGTCCGACGAGGAGCTCCAAGCATGGTGGACGGAGATCCGCACCGTCGGCCACGCCGACAAGAAGGACGAGTCCTGGTGGCCGGTTCTCAAAACCCCAAAAGACCTAATAGAAATCATCACAACCATAACGTGGGTGACGTCCGGCCACCACGCCGCCGTGAACTTCGGGCAGTACACTTACGCCGGCTACTTCCCCAACCGGCCGACGGTGGCGAGGCTCAAGATGCCGACGGAGGACGCCGACGAGGTGTTCTGGAAGAAGTTCATGGAGAAGCCGGAGTTCGCGCTTCTGCAGTGTTTCCCTTCGCAGATTCAGGCGACGACGGTGATGGCGGTGCTCGACATTCTGTCGAATCACTCGCCCGACGAGGAGTACCTCGGCGAGGAGTTGGAGCCGTCGTGGGAGGAGGAGCCCGCCATAAAGGCGGCTTTCGAGAGATTCAATGGGAGGTTGAAGGAGCTTGAAGGGATCATTGATGGTAGGAAGGCCGACAAGAGTTTGAAGAACCGGTGTGGGGCTGGGATTGTGCCTTATCAGCTTTTGAAGCCGTTTTCGGAGCCTGGTGTCACTGGCAAAGGAGTTCCATACAGTATCTCCATTTAAGTAAATATATATGCTCTCTACTTTTTTCTGGGGATAAATATTGAGAGTTTCTGAAATTCCTAATATGTTCATTATGGTTTGAATTGAGAATGTATTTGAGTTTGTGTTTGAGTGAGTCAAAACTTGAATTTATATTTGGATAATATTTTAATAAAAACTCAATAGTGATGAAAAATTTTAATAGGGTATATGGGTGGAGTTTTATTCATTTTTTCGTTGTGAACACAGAGAAAAAATAATCTCAATCAGAATTAAAATGAAAAGTTATGACGTTTTTAAGAATAGAAAAAATATTGTTCATTAACTTGAGTTTGAGTTTAAGAACTTGAGTTGAATGAAGAACTTGAATTTAGATTTTAGTCACAAATTCAAGTTAAAACTCAAGTTCAAACTCAAATTTTACGAAAGAACATGAACTTGAATAAAATTGTAACTTGAACTCAAATTTTTTTCGAGCTTGGGTGCAAATGATAAGAAATTCGAATATCAACCCGGAAAAGAAAGGAGTGAAATGAGTGTTTTTTCGTCCTCTTTTTTTGGGAGGAAATTAAGTTTGTTTTGTTAAAAAAAGAAAAAAAAACCTATCGAAACCCTCAGTTCTGGGCTTCCAGCAACCGAAAGTAAAGCAAAAAAAAAAAAAAAATGAAATTGGTATATCCTTAATATGTTTCTGAAAAATCTGGAAGTCGGGAACATATATTTATATATATATATATATTCAGGTACCGGATTAATTTAATCATGTTATCATTCAAATGCTTGAAGTAGCTAGGCAGTCTTCATGCCATCTAAGAAGCATCATAAAAGAATTTTTCCTTCACGAGAAGACTGACTGAGGATCTGGTGGCCTTATTTGTTGTGAAGGTTTATAAGCTTGACTAAATCCATTAATAATAAGTCTATGCGTAAATTACCTTACAATATGCATTAACTAGAGTGATGAGTACTTTATTTAGAGATGGAGGGATTTTGTGTAAGACCTGCAAATAAATTGATCAAGTAGAATTAATTGCTTTGATTAAGTAGAAAACTCGCTAAAACAATATATAAATTGCCGTTTAAAGTTTCAAGTACTAGCTAATCTAGTCTACCTATGCTCTTCTTTTCTTCAACTAGCACGCGCTTCTCTAATTTGTACTCCTTGAAAAGAATTAATTGACCACAACTAAAAAACATTATTGGTTGTCATCTACGTCCTAAAGTTTGGGACGGGTCGGACCGACCCTAAATGGAAGAGGAACAATCTAACCACACCTTAAAGCCTGCCAGTTCAGAATTTTATAAGATATTCTAAAAAAAAATCTTTAAAAAGATGGCTTTTTGGCTTGGTTGACTCGGCCCGAATAAACTTTTGAGCGCGAAACCTTGGCCTGGCCTGGAGGTTAGAGCTAGGTCCATACCAATAGTGACGGGTTCGAGTCAGCTTATTTAGCATGGTCCAAACTTACAACTCTAATCTTGAGTCTTATTATTGGGGCTATAATAATTATACACTTGACATTCAGTACACATGGGCCACCATTAATTTCAGTTAATTATAGGGAAAAAATAAAAAATACCCCTCAAAATGGAAAAAAATATTATTGTATCATTCCAATCAAGAATAAACAATTTCTATTCAATCGATAAAAAAAAATAAAAGACCACGATAACACCCAATTATTTAGAATTGTATAAATAATAGGCGTACATAAAATCATAACAAACCATGTATTTTTTTCTAAGAAATGAAAAATAATATTTATAAAAGTTTATCATTCATAAAATGGTAGATCCCATTAGATTAGGTCTCACTTATCCATCTAATGGGACACACCTTATGTGAGTAGTGAGGTTTAAAGACCGCGTGGATAAATAGGAATGCTCCTAAGAAATAGTAGAATGCATGGTGCCACTGGGACCGACTGAATGCCAAAAAAAAAAAAAAAAAAAGAAATGCAAACAAAGAGGGAGCTAGACTTTTGTTTGCTTCCAGAAAAGAGAGAAATAATTTATAGTTGAAGTTACGTGTCCGAAACACGCGTATAGTTCGAGGCTCGACAAGAAAACTTTTCTTGTGGTATCAAAATTGATAATGAAAATATCAGATTCTCAAAACATGATATAGTAAATAGCAATTAAATAAGCTTGTTATCCTAAGCCAAAAACGTACGTACGTGGTCCCTGCTCACTTTTTATATTGGAACATGGTCCCTTCTTATAATACATATAGCAATATTGTGGTCCACTGATCCATGTGATTTTCTTCATAATGGTTTTACTTTGTCAATGCATGAATTATAAAAAGAAGCTGAAAAGGACAATGATATATGCAGTGATGACATACACAACAGTGTGCGGGGCCCTTAGTGCAGAGGATTTGTATGTATGTGTTCATTTGACTGTTCGTCGATAAGAAGGACGTAAAATCTGATTAATTATGTGCATAAATTGCACGATATATTTCGTTGTCTTTTAATGGATTTACGATCTTAGTGGACCAGCAAATAGATCTATTATTTTTGTTAAAGCGTGTACTTAATTCTTAAATACTAAACAGAGTTCATATTAATTTAGTTTCGTGTTTTGACAGAGAATTTTAGATTTAATTTGAAATTATGATGTTAAAAGTTTTTTAAGGCTTCGTTTATTTTACCGATTTGAATTTTTAATTTTAATATATAAAAAAAAAATCAAGTTTCTTTAACGTGGTTTAAAAAGATTTAGGTGATTAGTCGATCTAAGTATATCATACATGTCGCAAAAAGCTCATGTCAAGAGTATCAAATTGTGTTGTCGCACCTTTCAAAAAAAAAAAAAATGAACGGTTGCAAAAATAGGCCTAGCTGTAATATTATTTGAGTTCTAAGTTCAAATCCTCTCTCTTAATTAAAAAATAAAAATAAATCAAATTGTGGTCTCACAATATTGACCATCAAGGTTAGTCAAATTAATGCCGGATATCCGAAGCAAAAGTATATTAATTGTGAAAATAATGTCAATCGTTCATATTCACGATATATGAATAACTTATTACTCGAAGATATCCATCTTCGGTATAATAAGCTTAAATTTCAATTGTTGATGCATGAAAATTACTTATTTGGGTCTTTACTCTTTAGTTTGATTACGGTGGGAGTCGAATTTCTATGTCGAATATTTATTCACACTTTCTTCAAAAGAATAGGAAAAAAAAACATTTGGTACTTTTGCTCTCAATTTGATTTTTTTTTGAACTTATCAAGTCAGCTCTCTAATCTTTTATTAATTTTAGTAAATTAATTCTTAATTTAATAAAGCGTTGCAAGATATTCTGAAATTGATGACAATAAGCACTAAAATTTGAATTAAAGCACTCTCCTACGTGTCAATGAGCTCGTTTGAAAGCATTGATTAAATGGGAACACGTTATCACATGCAATTTTTTTACAAGTTTTAACAATTCCATCATAAATCAATTTGGGTGTACTAAGCAACAGTTTTTTTTTGGATGTAGGGATAATTTGCTAAAATAAAAAAAATAAATAAAGAGAGTAATTGTCAGCTTATTATAAAAGTTTAGGGAAGGCGCAAAAGCACCAAAAAGTACCCAAAAACAAAACAAAAAACGTACTGACGTACTATTGTAAAATATTTAACCACTACTTAATGCCAAATAAAGGGAAAAAAATACATATTTACACTGTTCGGAGTGGCAACGATGGGTGTGTTTTCTTTATCAAAATAATAATATGGCCATTATAAAGATGTTCTTTTTATAGGTTAGATTGAAAATTTGAACTGAAATTCAAATTTTTGTGAGAAAAAATATTATGACAAAAAAATTTAATTGTGATTTAAATTTATAAATAGAACGGAACTCAGAGTATAAGCTGTTTGAAGGGTTCCCATACATATTAATTAGGACAACAATTTTAGAGAAGAAAAAAAAATATCAACTTAGCTTTCTGGCTTTGGCTTTTAGTCTTTTACGTACGTTCGTGTAGTTCAATCGAGGATGGGGACTATTATAAATGTGCTTGCAATATGTATTTTTCATGCAAGGACATTGTTATCACATGTTGAATGTGATAGGTTCTTGATATAATACATCTTTTCATTGCATAAATATGGTACTGATATTTTCCGATATAAAGCTAGTACTAATTTGTATTTTCCATTTTCCTCCACACGTGAAACAAGAGTTAGCAAATAAAAATCTTTTGGGGTAATATTTAAGCTTCAGTGTTGGCGGTGCATTTTGATATCACAACTTTTATTTGTTGGTATAGTCAAAGAGAAAATCACAATATATACTGTTGACGGTCAAATTTCACCAACAAAAACCGGCCGGGTTACCCCTTGGTATCCCTTGGGATTACCGGCCGGGTGTGTCGTTAACATATGAGGATTTGTTGAATATGCGAGTTTGTGTGTTAACTAAATCATGCATAGACAAATGACACAATGAATTTTATAGTGATTCACTCTATAAAATAAGAGCTACATTCACTGTGATTTTGTATTTCTTTTGAGAAGATAACAATTTACAACAATTGCTCTCATTGAATCTCTTCTTTCTTTTCTGAAATTTCTGAACCCCTTCCTTACTGGGGGTCTTCCTCCTTTTTATACTAGGCTTCCTTCGCTTAGGGGGTTTTCTTCATAGGTGGAGGCACTCAAGTGCTTTTCCTTGGTAGGCCTAGACGTAGCCCACTAATCAGCACTGTTCACTCAGCCAATTAGTCTCCTATTACGGCTCTGTGCTTCTCCGTAATACTTTTCTGTCCCCTGTGGGGCGGTTTGAGAGCTTGCAATTAGTGCCTGCAGACGTCTTCCACTTTTGCACGCAACCCGTCACGTCCTCTAAGGAACGTTTCCCTCGTCATCAGCACTGCTTAGCCCAATCGCCCCCTTTGGCGGTCCTTTCTGCGGTCAAGGGATCTTCGTGCCTCAATCCTGACGGCGCGATCTATCGACGCCATAAGGGATCGTCGCCCTAATTTGGACTTCGTGCTTTGGGCTTTCCAGCGGAATAAGAGGGGTCTGTAGACGTCGAGGGTTTTTACTTGGTGGGGAGTAGTCAAGGCCACGTGTCGCATTATCGTTCGTCCATGTGTCCGTCATATTTTCCCACATAACAGCTACCCCCCAGGTCGAGGGCTCCTTTTAG